ATTAAGTGTTAACGAGCAGTTGTACCTAATAAAGTGGCCGGTGAGTGTAAGCTTGTGAATCATTGTGTGCTAATGAAGTTAAAAGGAATTAAAGTAAAATACATTATTGGAAGTTGATATTATCTATTAAAGTAGCAGCATCAAGGTATCAGCAGGACTAAAACTCCCCCTCCTATGTCCCCAGGGCTGACTGCTCCCTCATTCAGACCTATAAGCAGTTCATTGGAGCGTAGAGCAACGTGTCCTATCTACGTCCCATCGCCTGTCAGCAGTACTCGCATTTAAATCTTCCTTAAAATCCAAACAGTTTCTAATCAGAGGTGCATTGTGGAAGGTCTTTATCTTCTTGCTGTTTATTCTTTTAATATACTCCGTAATAACTGAGCTGGCTCTTTCTCAGACTTTTTTCTGTTTCTCTGGTTACTAAAAAAGTGACTCTGCGTTCTATTTTCTCATAGTTTGTCCTTATTTCACACAAGCTCACAGAGAGCCAGCAGCAAATACCTCTCATGACTCACTCCTGCAGTGCCTGAGGACCAATATGAGAACTGTAGAGCCTCTTTTCGCCTCATAGACTCATCTGTCCGCTTCTGCCTGCTATATATTTAGTTTTTACGCTGAGAATAAACAGAACATCTATTAGCCCATGCACCATAGCAAGAACATTCTGCTGTGCAGTTTGGTTGTTCTTCTTAAAGGTCATTTTTTCAACTAGCAGTAATTTCAGCTGCTGCTTTGTAGCAGCAGTGATGCAAAAGCAGAGTATTTCGTGTCAGGACAGCAAAGGTTCCTAGACTTTCTGTTATTTGTGAAGACGGCAAATTCAAAGGAGTAACCTGGATGAGCCAAATCACACAGGACACTGTTCAAACCTTATGTGGGAGGCAGTCTTTGAAAATCAACAAAGAGGATAGCATGCAGCTTCAGTGCATGTGTTACATCACACTAGGGTGGGTGGTTAAGCACTGCAATAAGAGACACAAACTAAAGCAGAGAGAAACATTAGAGGACAGAAGGTTTATACTTTGATGGACAAACTGTACGAACCCTGAACTGTCTGCTCTAGCCCTATGCACACTCATTTGCTGACCTGATAACCCATAACTTTTATAAAGCTCCCAGCCTTCTGAAGTGTATTATTTGACCATAAATGTCATTTCTGTACATTAATGTGAGAGAATTATGAAAAGCATGGCCAACCTATGATTCCTTTTTTATTCTCGAACCTTTCTGTCAGAAATATTCTTAAATTCTTCTGCTGTGTGACTATAGGAGATTCACCTAGCTCTCAGAATGTGACTCAAGCTTCCCAAATGCTTCTGTTGACCCGTGGATTATCCACGTTCAGCCAGGGTCTGAGTGCCAAAGTCTATTAATTTCTTCATGTAAATAAAAAACTTCTTAATTTCTACTCTTCTATTTGTTAGTCTCTCCAGTGTATATTCTACCCTTTTCATTTTGTTAAAAATCTATCACAGAAAAAAGTGCTTCTCTTCCTCGGTTTTCATTTGCAGCATTTGACATTCCATAGTCAAATGCTGCATCATGATTATTGGCACCTGCCTAAACAAACACCACATGGCCAACCTCCTCTGCATCATCGGCTGTTAATATCAGCTCAATATTACTGACAATGTCAGATACTGTATGCTACTACAGATATTTTATCTATATTCAGTTTAAATAGCGCCAATTCACAACACACGTCATCTCAAGGTACGTTACAGTTCAACCAGATCATCCAGTCAAATTGATTCAAAGTTTTCTATCTAAGGAAAACCAGTTGATTGCATCGACTCATTGACTCTTCAGCAATCCCTCACACTAAGCATGCTTGTTGTGACAGTGGAGAGGAAAAACTCCCTTTTAACGGGAAGAAACCTCCAGCAGGACCAAGCTTAATGTGAGCGGCCATCTGCCGAGGCCGACTGGGGTTCAAGGAGACAGAAGCAGAGATACAAAAAGCAGCTGTAAAAGGCGACACCGTCCAGGAAACACACAGCCAGGCAGACGAGCTCCAAGCCAGCTGCCATGCCAGAGGATGAAGAGAGCACATCCAGCCAATCACAGTCAGAGAAATAAGACTACACTGAAAAACAGGCAGATCTCCGATATCTAGAAACAAAGATTTTGAATGCAGCGCACAGCTGATGTTGCTCTCCAGGATGGAGTCACAGCCAAACAGGAACAGACCAGAAGAAGCTACCATGAGAAAAAGCAGAGAGAGCAGAACATTAGAGATTGAACAAACAGATTCTGCAGAATAGGAGAATAGAGATAGAATGAAGCAGAATGATGAAA